CCTCCTCTCTCTCTCTCTCCGCATGTGGCGACTGCTGACGAACTCGTTTGTCACCGAACGCGTAATTCCCCGGTTCCACTTCTCACACAAGAAGCTACGTGTGGCCATACACTTCCTTGGATTTCTCTCCACTTTCGTTGGTAACCTGGAACGGGGAGGTTGGTCGGTCCGGTAAGTAGATTTCTGAAAATTTTGACCTTTTTCTCTTGCTGCTGTGGCCGGCTTTTTGTGGATTGGATTTGGTTCGTCGACTGGTGGATTTTCGTAGCAAAGTTGAGATTTTGTGAACCGAGCTTGGCTAAAAATTGTATCTTGGCATCCTAGGGGAGCGGAGATTGGGGATTTCCCGACGACAACCGCTGGGAGCGATGATTTCTTTCTTTCTCTATCGGGATTGTTGTAGATGATTGGTGTTTGGGTTTTTGAGGTGCAGGCTGTTGGCTCCGGCAAAAAAGAGTGAGGTTTTTCCGATTTGGATTTGTCAAAATTTAGGAATCGCCAGTGAGGTGTGCGGATTTTGATGGATAAGATCGGCTGTCTGAGGTCCTGCTGTTCTCGGGTAACAATTTGTCTCATCTGAGCCCTGATTTTGCTCTTCTTTTATGTTAATTAAGATCCTAGAATTCCATTTTTCCTTTGTTTAATTTGGCTTATCATTCTTTCGCTGCTGAGTAATAGGGAAATATTATGTTTAAAGTTATAATTGGGCATCTAATAATATTTTTCTTGGGTATGGAAAAATTTGGATTGGAATAAAGGCACTTGCCCTCGTCCAAAGTGTTGGTTATACAAGTCTCTTGGTTGATTTGTGGGTAGAGACTTGGTTTTCTCTTCTCTTACTTGATATATTTCTTCTTGATTAATCTATTGAACTATAAATTTTTCGTGGAGTATGTTTGTAGGACTAGATTTTCAGATTCTCATTTGAGTATCTGTCGGTCTTGTTTGAAGGAGAGATCTTAGTTTTCCAAAATCTTGTTTTGAACAAGTCACCAGTTCACTTTGATCATGCATTTCTATTAGCTAACAATTTAATAAATCATTGAATGGACAAAAGATTGTCTCATGAATCTTTTACCTAACTATTTTTGGCTGACACTGGCCATGCTATTCAGTTTGCAGGTCCCTCACTAACTGTTGGTAAAGGTAAAAATTCCCAAGCTCACATCAGGATTACTTATGGGTTTAGCCTACTAAAAGGAACAGCAGATCATCCTATTGAGGATTATCATGTGGCTAAATTTGTTCGCATGAGAGATCAGGAACTTGGTCTGTTTGCTGTGTTTGATGGCCATTTGGGTGATACTGTGGCATCATACTTACAGAAGCATTTATTTACCAATATCATAAAGGAGGTAACTTTTAGCTTATTTGTGTAGCATGGAATTAAAACTCATGGATGCACATGGAATATTGCAATATGTGTCGCTTCTTTCTAGGAAGATTTCTGGACCAATCCTGATATAGCCATCAGAAGGGCCTATGAGAAGACTGATAATGAGATACTCTCTCATAGTCGTGATTTGGGGCGTGGTGGATCCACTGCTGTTACTGCAATTCTTGTAAACGGCAGCAAATTGTGGGTGGCTAATGTTGGTGATTCACGAGCTGTTCTGGCCACGCGTCGAGAGGTGATACAGATGACAACGGATCATGAACCGAATTCTGAACGTGAGCGTATTGAAACAAGGGGTGGATTTGTTCTTAACATGCCAGGTTAGTCGGGCACCTTTCTCTTTTAGTTATGTTTTGTGGAATAGTAGAAAATATGGAGTAATGAAATGCCAGTGGGTCATTGCTTTGGTTTTCTTTTTATGATGAAAACCAAAATTTATGCAATCTTATCTCTGCTCAAATTTGTTGTTGTTTCATAAGTCCTTTGGGTGCTTACCAGTTACAAGTACTCGTAGAAGGCTTTATTAATTTAATGACTCATTTAAGTGAAGGTCTTCAACAATTTCTAAAGATTATCCCTTTTGAATGAAATGGTTTCTCTATGATTTTTCAGTTTTTTTATCTGTAACTATTATTGTATATGTGTTGTTTCATCAGTTGGCGAATAGAATTGTTCCTTATAATAGATTGATGAACTAACTCTTTTACCCTTAGTCTCAGAAATAGCTTATACAGGATAGTCAACTATTGAAGGTAATTGAGTTGATATAGAGAAAAAGAAACTTGTAAGTAGTAACCCACATAAACTAACAATTTGAATTTGTTTTTTTCAAGTGAAACAGACAATATGAACTAATGCTAACACTAGGAAAAGCTGAATAAAATGCATGAGTCAATGCGTCCTCTTAATGATTTCATGTGAAGTTTGATATATCAGCTGCTTCCCTTTTCAACTCCAGTCGAATATTCATTCAGGTTAGATGGAACTGGTGAGCCGGATATGTAGTTAAAATGCGTATGTTTATGCATGTTTGCTAAGTAGTTTAAATCACTAGGAGCAATCCAAGTTATACGGTTGTCCCGAACTACTTCTCTCTTGCTTTGAAATCTTGATTGTATGTGTCACAAAATGAAACATACTAATAAACTGTTTAAAGTTCTGCATCTCTTTTATATAATGATTTATGTTTGCAAGAAAAGCATGTCATACTAACTAACGCTTTTGAAATTGATATTACCTATTATCCTTGAACTTAATCAGAATTGTTATAGACAAATTTCACCAGCTTGACATTTTTTTCTTTGACCACATCATGATAGAAGGTTCTTTTTCGATAGTGCAATTTGCTCTTGCCATCCTATAGGACATTCAAGGATTCCTTTCAGTTTAGTTTAATACTAATGAACTTTCAGGGGATGTCGCAAGAGTTAATGGGCAATTAGCTGTTTCGCGGGCTTTCGGAGACAAGTGCCTCAAGCCACATTTAAGTTCAGATCCTGATATACAAGTTGAAGACACAAACTCAGAAGCAGAGCTGCTCATCCTTGCAAGTGACGGCCTCTGGAAGGTTATTTATCATAAGTTCCGGCATTCACTAATCATTTAAGTTTGCCACATACTTACAGCAACTTTTCACCAGGTGATGAACAATGAGGAGGCTGTTGATCTTGCAAGAAAATTCAAGAATCCACTATCAGCAGCCAAGCGGCTGACTCTGGAAGCTTTCAACCGAGATAGTAAAGATGACATATCGTGCATTGTTGTTCGATTCAAGCGGTAGGATTCAGTCATAAACCTCATAAGATGGTCATCAAGAGCTTCATTACTTTACAGATGCTTGTATGACTTACTACTCGTGCTGTTTTCTTGTAAATGCTTCTATAAGTTCATGTATATCAGGTTCTTTTTTGTACAAACCAATCATATTTTACTAGTGCATATATGGAGACCGCAAAACTGGGATAAATCTGATATTTTTTTCAGAAGGTGATGAGAAGGGTCATGTAGTGTCCTGCTGTTTATCAAGTACAGAGATTGGTATTATGCTTGCATATAAATTGAATTGAATTGGACTTATCTTTATCATTTTTTGGTGGTTTCTTTACTTTTGCATGCCAAATTGTCCAGTAAATATATTGAGAAAAGGTTCTGTCATCTAATATACCTCATGATTTTATTGAGAGCAACACATTATGCAGGCTGTGGCTTACATGAAATAGCATTCAGATTCACATGCTTGTTGGAGGACAAAGTTCAGATGAAGGTGTTTCTCAGATGATCCAAGAAACTAAAGTTGGATGAGAACAATCAGATCCCTCTGTTCTCATCAATCACAATTCTTACTTTTAGACTAATCAGGAAAATATTACTTATTGCTAGAAAAACAGGAGATACATGAAAGAAATCATCAGTCTGTCATCCTCTGACAGATCAGATCTATGCTTTTTTTTGTCTTCCTCTATTTTTTCCCTCTTAAAACTAATAACCATGGAGTTATGAGATATACAAAAAGAAAGAGAAAGTGTTGCTTCAAAGAAGAAGATTAATAAGAGAAAAAGAATAGTTTTTTGCTGGCTCTCTGCCTTCAACCATGTAAATTACAGCAGTCATTCCTTAACCAGTATACTTCTTAGCAACATAAATTTTTAGGCTGCTTGTTCATATATTTATGCTAAACATGGCAAACTTGACCTACCCTATGCTCTCTGATGCAAATTTATTGCCTAATTACATAGCCCATGCGAACCTTGCGGTTCCGCAGGAGTGCAACATTGGTTGTTGAAGAATCTTCGCTTCACCACTGCCTGTGTTCTTGCTTCTGATTCTACCTTTTGCATGATGAGAAATTTATGGAAACCACCATCCACATGTGACCAATGATTTATCCTATGCCGAGCTGTTGTAATTGTATGAGTTACTGCTGCTTCCTAAAGAACGGCTTCTGACAAACCAGGAGCTTTTTGTCACTGCTACTGTCGAGCTCCACCATGCGGGCATCCCATCTCAGCTGTGTTGTCATTGATCTAGCAGCTTCAACAAGATGTGCCGCATCGCGGATTATCACCCAACCCTACAATTGTGCCAGCACCAATATTGGATCAAGTACGTCGTGCCACATTAACTGAATGAATATAATTCAATATTGTAATGAACTAGGTACAAACATGTTGTGAAGTTGCCAAGGACTTCATGATTACATCTCCTGATAGTTATCCAGCTCAAAATGATGCATCAATGCTGAGTAGCATATAAAAGAAGTTCCACAGGAAGAAGAAACTGTAATGTACCTCGGGTCGTAGAATGCGATCAATCTCTAAGAAGATGTCGAGCATGGAACACCTATGCTTTTGGCGAGTCTCGAGAGACAGCAATCCATCAGCATGCACCATATCATAAGTTCTTGGATACGTTGGAAATGCTTCACACCTAATGAAAAATGTATCGATTAGATTACCGAACCCCTATAAAACGATATAGTATCTAGAAGAGCTACATTTAATATTAATATCAGGATTCTTATCAACTATTCCAATACCCCTTGAACATGATGACAGGAAAAAGGCTTTTGGATATTTATGTATCATTACAGGTCAAATCAAGGAAAAATATACAGGTGTGAGGCTGCAACATATGAAGAAAAAAATAAGTGGTTTTAGCGGCTCATACCAATCATGCTGAACACCAATAAACCCCCTGTCGAAAATCAATGGGAGATAGTTCGGGCCACTTGTAGGCACAACATTCATCACCCACACGGATTTTCCGGCATCCAACAAAGCAGCATTAAAACCACCAAAATGAGCATTCATATCAAGAACATTTCTAAGCATGTTAAATGGCGGGGATGGGTCCTCATCACCAGGTCTCTTTGGATGATCCGAAAATATAAGAGGTGAAAGAAGTGACCAAAAATTATGAATCACCGAATTCCAATTTGCAGCATCCTCAGCGAAGTCCTCAAGGTGTATTCCTGATCAGACGAAATGTTAAAGAAACATTTACATATCATGCAACAGGGAAACTTCATCAGCTGAATCTTGTATTTACCATGTATATCAAGTTCAGTTGAATTCGGTCTAGCTCGAGAAGGCCAGGGTGTACGACACTCGATGGGAATCCACCGCCGACTTCTTGTCCCTGCTATACAGGGATTGAGTGGTTGGTAATATGGAGATTCAACATCATGGCTTCTACCACAAACTGCAGGTCCAGCCTTCCTGTAAAAAGTAAACACATAGCATTATGAATAATTGGGAGTCATTAACCATTTCTGTTGTTGCATTAAAGGACCACAGTTAGATTTTCCCCATGACGGAAAAATATGAGCAATACAACAAAAATGGATTTGGAGGAGTCAATACCTAGAACTGTAACATTTCCTTCTGCTAGTCTTCTTCCAGACAATTGTTTCATCTTGCTGTGACAACATATCCCAGCAAAGATTTTCAGCAAAATCACGAATCAGTGACCACTTCTTTTGATTTTCTTTTTCACGTTGGGATCTATGAGTATTCATTTGCGAAGTCCAGACAAAGTAACCCCCAGGTCTCAAAAGTCTGTCGACTTCAACTAGGAAAATACCATCTGCCCTGATATCAACATTTTAGCAACCGAAGCCCAATACATATAGGATAGAATAACATACAATTACAATATGCGAAAGAGGAAGAAGGAAAAAGTGGTAAAAGTACTTGATTTTAAAAACAGGAAAGAAAAAAAAAGTACTTTCATTCATCCACCTTTTACTCGCCCTTTGAGATGTTTAACAATGAAGATGCAAGGTTATAATACCACGATTTTATGGAAACATGTTAATTATCTGCAGACCATATGGCACTTCATTATATTAGTATACACTGACAATAATTTTTATTGCTATAAATTGTACTCAGTTTGTCAGCACAAAAGTAAGGTTATGTTGTCTTTGTCAATCAGATGTCATCTTAGGAGATAATAATGTTCTATTTCTTGAATGTTGTCCTGAACGGTGGAAGCTTGACCAAGTTGACTTCTATCAACTTGCAAGAGAAATAAAAGACAGAAGAAAACATATGACAAGTTTCCCCTAATTCTAAATTAAGAAAAAAATAATAAACGAACACTAACCATTTTTCTCCCACTCAATCTCACATCTTGCACAGTGCAGCATATCAAAAGAAAGGTACGGATATGGCAACTGTCTTGATGAAAATGAACCGATCATGGCAGGAATGCCTCTCTCGAGTGTTAGTTGAACTTGACTACCCGATGCCTCATAATTTGCGATGCACATGGTCAAGAGCTGCTTTGAGAAGAGATGTGCTCCAAAGCTTCCAAAACCACACCCTATGTCTAGAACAGTTCTTATCTGGAAAGTCAACACTAATATGTCAACGATATCTATATAGAGAATTACAAAAGCAACAATAGATACTGCCATAATGATAAACATGAAGCTTAATTAGCATGGAGGATTACAAAAGTGACAAGAAATGATACCATAAAGATAAACAAAAAAACCTAACTAGCATTAGGAACATTTTTAATATCAAATGCAGATGAAAGTTGAAGACAATTACTAATTAAAATTATTTTAAGAATAATTTGACTGAAAGCTAAGCCAGACAGATGAAGATCGACAAAGGAGGCTTTTTCTTAAGGATCCATGAAAATTGACAAAGAAAGCGAAGATGATCAACTTATTTCTATAGAATACCTAAAGCATCAACTACATGTTAAGTAAGACAGATGCCAGAAATGTTCATGAGAATATGCTTATAACAGGTTAATGTATTTTGTGAGTGAGAAACAACTACAACTTATTAACTCGTTGGTGCGACCGATGCAGCAAAATAATGACCTTATGTACATTGTATTCAACTTTTGTTGTCTCCTATATTTAAAGTTTCTTCCCTTGATCTGCAAAAGCTAATTCAAATAAACAAACAGATGGCTCTCATACAGTGAAAAGAATGGCACTTACCCCAGACTCGATGAAGTTAGATTCGTTCGGCAACCCAATCATCTCTGCTATTTGATGAGTATAATCTTCTACACCATCAACCATGAGGGAGCCAGAACGGAAAGAGATCTGCTCTTCCTCCACCATCATCCTACCAACGCCCGGCTTATTAGTCACATATATTATATAAGTGATGATCAAAACAATGTACAGAAAAAGAAAATAATAATATCCATTCTACCTCTTGGTTAAGCTCCCAGAGGAGAATTCGTGTCCGGTGATCTTGACATTCTCCTTCCAAATGATATCCCTCCCACCTGGCCACCTCAGTGGAATTCTGTAGTTCCTTGGAGGAAGAATCAAACAACCCTTCTTGGCATCAGGAACACAGTTTCTTTCATACTCAATTGGCACCAGGGGATCTACCAAATCAAAATCCTCGGAGACATTGTTATAACAAGGGGCATAGTTCTCATACTCAGGCGGGCAGAATTCCAACTCTTTCAACCGTGCAATTCCAAGCGAGAGCTCTCCGATCTCTGTGAGATCAGCGACAACCTGTTCCTGGAGGCGCCGGTAGCCGTGGTGGATGTTGCCCCTAGAGGAGATGGAGATGGAGATGGCCCAATAGAGGGAGCTGGAGAGCGAAAGTACGATAAAGACGACTAGACCCAGCTTAAGGAAGGTAAAAATGAGACTTTGCCGGCTTCGATTTGTTCCAGCGGGGCTCATGAGCTCGTGGCCGAACCCATTCTCCCCTAAATCCTTTGCCTGATAGCTCACATCAAAGAAGTCATGGCCGTTGCCGCCGCTTCCCCTTCCGCCACCGGAGAACCCACGGTACAGCGGCCTCGACATCGCCTTCTTCCCTGCTCCAACTGCAATTCAGAAGAAACTCAAATTGAGGTTTCATCAGAAGGAAAACACAAAAATATTACTCCTTTCCACCTAAAAGCAGAAGAATGTGACTGTGAACGGGAGCTGTAAGTACCGGAGAAGAGGGAACGGAGAGATTGGATGGCCTTGCATCCCAGAACAACATTAAAAGCCATGGAATGGCACCAACTACCTCATAAATACCGCAAAAACATGGCGAAAAAGTGGAAGTTT